ATGATTATTTCATGGAGAGTTTTAGCCGAGAAAAAGAGTTGGTCGTTTTTGGTGGGACTTCCGAGAAGGCAGACAACGAATTGGCACTGGGTATTTTTTCGTGAAGCGCTCGGCACCCAAGCAGTGGGTTGGCCAGGGTTAGGCAACAATCGGGTCAAAGGACCACGCTCTGGCCCAAAAACAACGTAAACCCAGGGTTGTGGGATCGCTCGGGGGTTATCCAACCACTTCTGTGATGCTTTGGGGAATCTCCCCCTTTATATATATATATATATGGGGAGTTCGGCTTTGGGAAGCCAATTCGGTTGTCTCACAGATTCGTGGATTCCATTTCCCACAGCGCTGATGTAAACCAAAAGGCGGTTGTGCAAGCAGTGGTTTCGATCGAGGGGGGGGGCAGTAGTTGGTTGCTTCCAGCACCCTCCAGTGTGGTCCATTTCTACCTCATGTGCCCTTGCGTGAGCCATTTTAGGTACCAATTGACAACCCTTGGAGGGTGCTGGTTGCTAATAGAAAGTGTTTTGTTTTGGCGCGCCACTTTTTGGCGCGGGCTGTGGAGTTTCAGTATGCTTTTAGGGTCTTTTGAAAAAACGCACCGGCAAAGGGAGGTGCCGTTGCTTGAGCTCTGGAGGTTACACACAGGGGGCTGTGGATGGCAACGCAAAGATCGGTGTCACCGACATCCTCGTGATGCTGTATGACGTGGAGGGTGAGTGGCAATGGACTCAGCAAGGAGGCGAGGGGAAGGGGCGAAATCCATTGTTTTTGGCGAGGAGGTCGCGCGGTTTCCGAGCCATTTCCCTTTTTGGAATCTCCAAAAAGCGGCAGTTTTACTGGAAACCACCTGATCCAGTGACCCCTATGTCTTTTTCGTTGTTTCCTCCCATTTCGGCTGTTGACACCGAAAAGTTTTGCAGCTTTGTGCAGTCCATCGAGGATTTTGTCCGTCAGCTCAACAGCTCAACGGCAGAACATGGGTGTGACTTTTTTTGTAGAAGCCAAAAGAAAAGCACCTTGAGGGGGGAGCCCCAAGCAAGACTTTATGGCTATTTGGTAACGAATTTTTTTGTTTAAACCATTTGTGTGGTCGACGCTATGTGGATTTAACGAATTGGACACACAAACAGTTGAGAGCTTCTTGCAGAGGGGGTCGCTGCAGCCAAGGAAACCTCTCCTCTTCTCTATGGCAAGGGGTTAATGAGAATTGGAATGAACCCGAGCAAAACCACTCCAAGCGGTGGTTTAACCACCACTGGGTCTCCTTCCCAACACGACGCTTTTCGCCGGATTCGGGGTCATTCCTTCCCCACCGATCGCGCCGATCGCAAGTGGCAAAAAATCTCGTGGCGAGGGGTCTCCGGAGCCAAGCCGCCAAGCCGAGCCGAGCCGAGGAATCAGCCCAGCCCAAACGGAGAAACCGGGCTTTGTCGCGCTTTTTGGTAATTACCTGGGGGGCTGATCAAAAGGTCCTTCACAGAATTCCACCGCCAAATCGGGAAAAAAACACAGTTACTCTGGGTGATTTTGGGGCCCGAAATGGAGTATTGATCATCCCCCCCCACTTTTTTGGTTGAAGGGGTCCCTCCAAAAGTTGGACCCCATTTCGCGAGGTCCCTTCAACAGGAAAAAAAAAAGACGAGGCCGCGGGGTCTTTAAAGGATAGGACGGTGGTTTCGGGAGCCTTTTTTGCCAGCATCCATGAAGATTCACTCTCCAAATCTGCAAGCATTGGCTCACGCGACCCTGACCAACTCTTACAACTCTCACAACTTGCCAGGCTCCTCCGTGCAAGACTATGCCTTCGCCTTGGCGTTGGACAGCAACGGCCAGGCTCCGTGCCACCGGGTTTTGCGTGTTCTCCTCTTCCGACGGCGGGCGTGGAGCATTCGACCCCGGAGTCCAGGCCAAACAAATATGTGGGGGTGTTTTTTTGGCTCCTCCAAAAGTGATCTGAATCCCCCACAAAACCCAGGGCCACCCCCCTTTACATGTATATATATATACATATATATATATATGCATATATTAGTAGTCAACATAGAGTTTTCCAACAGGACCCCAAGACAAGCTGGATTCCGATTTCCCTTTGGTGTCCCTTCACACCATCCCTCAAAAGGGTACCCTCAGAGTTTAGCCATGCCTCCGAATATATTTGTTTCAGTCATAAGAAGCGCCGTTTCTCATGCGGTCCAAAAAATGCGATGCGAAAAATATTTAGCGAACATCTCACTTTATAAAGGTATTTATGATGTTTTGTATAGAAAAAGGGAGAGATCAACCGCTAGTTTTTGAACACGGACGGTCATGTTTCCCTGAACCTTTGCAATTATTGTCCCATTTTTTGTTGAAAAAGGGATCCCAGAAGAATAATTTCACATGTTTTGACCCAGACACACACACACACAGCATAGTGGTTCGTTGGTTTGCTAAAAGTTTAGGTGGGTTTGTTCTGCCCAGACACACGTACACACACACACAGCATAGTGATTCGTTGGTTTGCTAAAAGTTGAACTTTAGGTGGGTTGGCTTCTTTTGAACCTGTGCAGATTCGGGGGCACTAGTTTGGCCATACCCGGAGCAGCTTCGCCCCTTCCGCGCCGCATCAGCCCCACCGGGTCTTGGCGCCACCTTGCCTTTGTGCTTTACGTCTAACGCACTCCACTCCTCCTCCATGCTCTTGCGGAGTGGGCTGTGTATCTTAAAGTGAGCCCAGAACACCTCGTGGTCGCTCTCATTTTCTTTTCCCTTCCAAGCTCTCTACAAACCCGTCGCCAAGGCACCTCTTGGATTTCCATTTCCGGCCCCTAACCCGCAGCCAAACCCAGAAAACCCAGCCCGTTCTCCCGACTGGTTCCAATCTACTCGTGAGAGACGGTTTCCCCAAATTCAATGGGACAGCTCCTGCACCTTTGGCGTCCGGGATTTCTTCTCCTGAGCCATGAGAGTGCGCGTTTCTTTGAAAAGGGTCAAGAGGAAAACCACCATCGCCGTCACCCTAGTTCGACACATACGCAAGACTCCTCAAAATATTCTCTCTTGTCAACTGCTCGACTACGTCTCTTTCTGTGGTGTGAGCAAAACTTCACAGTTCTTGGCATTGGTTCTGTTCATTTTTACTGGGGGTCTGCCAACAACAGTCAGTTTTTAGCTACCATACCAAGAGTAGAGAAAAGGAAAACTGCCATCGCCGTCACCCTAGTTTGACCAGCTGCTCGAAAACCGTCTCTTTCTGTTGAGCAAAAAATGAAGAACCGCCCCTCTCCCGGCCTCCTGGCCAGGCGGTGTCTGCCGGCACCACCGGCTCCGAGATCTTCGTGGTGCGGCTTCCGCTGCCGCCGCCCTACCGCCGCTCCGACGGCCCCCGGGCGCAAGCCGCTCTGAGCGTCGGCGCGGGGCTTGTAGCACTCCTGGCGCTGGGGTGATGGACGACGTGTTTTTTTTCTTATCGAAATGGGAGGCCTCCATTTGCTGAAAGGATTGTTTAGTTTACTTTTTACTTATTTTCGCCTGTTGGCTTCAAAAGGAATTCATCACTACTGGACATATTTTCGATTTTTTCTGGGCCTTAACCAAATGTAAGGATGCCGTTTTCTTAACTGGCTGTGGTTGTCAACACCATTTTGGGATACCATTTTGGGGTAGGTGAATTCACCACCCATTTTAGCACCTATTACGGGATTTTGACCCATGGCCAACTGTTCCTGAAAAGAACAGCCCTTTCGGGTTTCGGTGGCAAAACCGAACAAGAAGACAGACCCCGATTTAGGCAATATTTCTTATTTCTGTTGGTGAAAAGAACAACCCTTTCGGGTTTCGGCACCCTCAAGAAGAAGACAGACGCCGATTTTAAGCAATGTTGCAGCGGTTGGATCAAGTTGGTTCGTCCATCCACAGTAGCACGTTGCGTGAACACCGCGCGATGGTTGCAAAAAGGACCTGGCAGGGGAAGGTGTGGGGCTCGCTCTGGAGTTTTTCGCGGAAGCCGGATGCAATTCTTAGGGCAAAAGAAACAAGTCTGCTGGCCATGTGTCAGTGTTGGCAAGAGATGTGGTGGAGGGTAGGCTTTTGTCCAGACTTTGCCTTGCGATGTTCTGAGGCCTGAGACGCCAGGCTATTTTTTGGGATTGGAAGGGGCAAAGGGAAGCCGTGGATGTTTTTGGGGGTCACCCCACTTGGACACATGGCCTTCCTGATTCCTGATGCTTGGCAGACCTCTGGCAGATGAAGCGCGCATGTGCCTCTTACAAGCTTACTTCAGGCTTGGATTGCGAGCTCATGCCCACATCGCAGCTTTTTTCGCACCGTGTTTCTTTGAAGGCATGTCGGTTGTGACGCTTGAAGACCCCCTGGCCCTCGACACAGTTTTCAGCTCCGCATCTTTGACATGGCTCACATGACATGGACGCCCAGGTCGCTCGTTTCTTTGGGGTTCAAAGGTCCTCCGGATAAACATCAAGAGGAACTTGGGCCAAGCCAAATTTACGCTTTCCAAACCGGAAATGTGTTTTTTTTGTTCAGGCTTGCTTGGACCCGATCGGGCTAGAATGGGTGTGCAAAGAAGTCGGAATGATAATTCTGTGGAATCTGTCTTTTTCCGATGGAAAAAATCCGTTCGCACCACTTTGAAACCATGGTTGAAACCCATCGCTTGTATTTTTTCAATGCCATTTTCGGTGTCCCTTTCTTCTTTTTTTGCCATATGGACCTTCTTCCGCCTCGGCTCGCTTCGCTCAAGCTTCGAACGCAGAAGGTCTCGGGCGCTGAAGCTTTCGGTCGCTCGCTTTCTTTCGCGGCCTGTTTCCCTTGCGCCATTCTTGGCTTGCCATTTGTTTCTCATGCGTTTCTCCGCATCGACTCGATTCGCCGAACGCTTCGAACACCGCGAGAGCTTTCGGTGTTTCCGCTTTGACTCGCTTTGACTCAAGCTTCGAACGCGGAAGGTCTCGGGCGTCGGACGCTCCCGCTGTCGAGTCGGTTTGGCGGCAAGTCTCAAGCGGCAGGTGGAGGTCTTGGGCCTGGCGGGGAACCCTTGCGCCTGCGGCGACTCCTTCCCCGAGTTCGCCTGCGGCGCTTGCGGGCTGAAGGTGTGCGGCGCGGCGTGCCACCGCTCGGGGCCTCGGTTGCGGAGTCGCAGGGGTAGTGCCGAAAGAATTTGGGGCGAAAACGAGGGGGCGGCGGGGTCTTTGGGTTCTGTCTTTGGAGTTGGTACCTCTTTTGTTTTTGTGGCTTTGAAGGGAAGCCAGAAGGAACACCCATAGCCAAAACTTGGCGGTTCGCCGCCATCCGGTTCCAGAAAGGGGCAGCTGGGTCCAGGGATAATTTTCTGGGGCCACCAGAAAAGACACCCCTTTCTGCCAAAAGCAGGAAGCTCGGGGGGCAGCCTGATTTTCACTGGGGTCATTAGTGTGACGGGAAACCGGGGGACAGTTTCCATCTCTTTTTTGAACCTAGTGTGCCACGTAACAGGGAATTTAGACAATTGGTACAGGCAAATGGGGCCAGTTTGTCGTTCCGGAAGAAGACGAATGCAATGTCCATGCCAGGGACCGAAATGGATTCGGGACATGGGGAGTTGTTGGGCCAAAAGACTGTGATGCCCATCATACATGCATAAGCATAGGTTGTATGAACACATACAAAAAAGCGCACATGTAGGGAGCCTGCAATAGTCTAGGGTAGGGCAGAGGAGGGCCTTCAGCTAGCTCGGCGGGAAGTGCTCGGCCCTGCCTGTGAGAGCCTTAGGTACTTGACATAAAAAAAAAGTGGATCGGAACCTTAATTGAAGTTGTGGGCAGGGAAACCCTTTTCCGAGCCCCATAGAAATGCTGTCTTCGCTGCAACTTTTCCATCCAACCCCTTCACGACCACATCTCAAGCTTTTTGAACACATGGGTGTGGTTGCCAACATGAACCCAGGAAAATGGAAACAAGGACTAGCATTTGACCCGCATATCTGGGGTTGGTGCTAAGTGCTTAGATTGTCTCTCCCTGTGTGGCACTATGGGCTTGGGGGAGTGATTCGGGAGGCCAAGCTTTTGGGTGAAAGCGGCATCCGCAAAACGACGATCAACTCATAGCGAAAATAGGAGCGGGGCCCACCTGGATCGCCAGTTTCTGCCTTTTTCCATCCACTTTACCCCAAAAGCCAGCAACAGTGACTGAAAAAAACGGCAACTTGGCTATCTAGGCAGACCTATTTTCCGGGCAGCAAAAAGAAATGGACCACGGGCTGAAGGGGAACCGTGTGGTTCGGTATTTTGTTTTGTTCTTGCTGCCCTCGAACCCCCCAAGAAGGCATCGGATCGGCATGCCTTTGGTGTCTAGCTTCTGGCCGATTCGCGTTTTCCCTGGGATTCCTCAACATCCAGGATTTTTTTTTGGGTTTCGGGCGAGGACCTAGACTTCAGAGTTTCTTCGACCCCAAAAGATGACCAAGAATTCCGAGTAGGAATAGGGGTGAAGGATGTCCCTCGCTTTTCCAGTTAAACCAGGCAGCGGAGCAACTCGGCAACCCACTGAGCCACTGAGCCACTGAGCTATCAAGGTGTGCACTGGCTGCAGCAGAGGCAAGCATGCCAGGCCCGGGAGATGGCTTTGAGTGGATCTCTTTTTTCCCCAAACAGTTTACTGTGAGGGGTTCTAAATTCATTTAAGGTGGCTCGCCTGTTGCCAAGCCCTAGCCTGGATGCCTGGCACAGCTCTCTGGGTGGACGGGTTCATTTGTCTCCCTGTGTCTCCCTTCATTTGTCTCCCGTTGTCTCCCCGCCTGGATGCCTGGCACGGCTCTCTGGGTGGACGCGTTCGTTTGTCTCCCTGGGTTCACTTGTCTCCCTTTGTCTCCCTTCATTTGTCTCCCGTTGTCTCCCAGCCTGGATGATCCAGTCTGGGTGGACGGGTTCATTTGTCTCCCTTTGTCATTTGTCTCCCGTTGTCTCCCAGCCTGGATGCCTGGCACGGCTCTCTGGGTGGACGGGTTCATTTGTCTCCCTTTGTCTCCCTTCATTTGTCTCCCAGCCTGGATGCCTGGCGCGGCTCGGGTTCATTTGTCTCCCTTTGTCTCCCTTCATTTGTCTCCCGTTGTCTCCCAGCCTGGATGCCTGGGTGGACAGATTCACTTGTCTCCCTTTGTCTCCCTTCATTTGTCGCCCGTTGTCTCCCAGCCTGGATCTGGCACGGCTCTCTGGGTGGACGGGTTCATGTGTCTCCCTTTGTCCCCTTCATTTGTCTCCCGTTCTCTCCCAGCCTGGATGCCTGGCACGGCTCTCTGGGTGGACGGGTTCATTTGTCTCCCTTTGTCTCCCTTGATTTCTCCCGTTGTCTCCCAGCCTGGATGCCTGGCACGGCTCTCTGGGTGGACGGGTTCATTTGTCTCCCTTTGTCTCCCTTCATTTGTCTCCCATTGTCTCCCAGCCTGGATGCCTGGCGCGGCTCTCTGGGTGGACGGGTTCATTTGTCTACCTTTGTCTCCCAGGATTGGCACCCCTTTGTTTCCCTTCATTTGTCTCCCGTTGTCTCCCAGCCTGGATGCCTGGCACTGTTTTTTTGGTGGACAGATTCACTTTTCTCCCTTTGTCTCCCTTCATTTGGCTCCTGTTGTCTCCCAGCCTGGATGTCTGTCACGGCTCTCCAGGCGGACGGATTCACTTGTCTCCCTTGGTTCCCCTTCATTTGTCTCCCATCTCTGTGGGTGGACGGACGGATTCATTTGTCTCCCGTTGTCTCCCAGCCTGGATGTGTGGCACTCACGCTCCGCGGTTTCCTTCACTTCCCGCGGTTCTGTCCTTTTGGCGGGGTCTGGTTTGCCTTCGGCTTTGGCCCTGGCTTCGGTCATTCCTTGTCTTGTGGATGTTGGGGACAGGGTCCTCCTCTGTCTGCCCTTCATCTGGACTTCGATTTCGCTTGGGCTCGTGGTGGGTCGTCTTCCTTGTCTATCGTTGGCTACACCCTGTCTGTTCGTTCAGTGCCTCGTTATCAGTTGCGGTCCCGAGCTGACGATAGCGGTGCGCTGCGGTGCGCGGCTTCAGCTACGAGAAGGCTCTGTTAACCCCCCGGTGAAACAAACGTGAATCACGCTGGAGTTAAATCCTCTATCGATTCTTCGAGGATGTTCAACGAACCTTACGCTGAGATACCCAGCGGTGCTCTTGGCACCTGGGGTTGTCCCGGCTCTCCCGGCGGACGGGTTCATTTGTCTCCCTCTCCCTCCATTTGCCTGACGGATTCATTTGTCTCCCTTTGTCTCCCTTTATTTGGCCCCGGTTGTCTCCCAGCCTGGACGCCTGTCACGGCTCTCTGGGGTCCCGTTGTCTCCCAGCCTGGATGCCTGGCACGGCTCTCTGGGTGGACGGGTTCATTTGTCTCCCTTTGTCTCCCTTCATTTGGCTCCCCTTGTCTCCCAGCCTGGATGTCTGGGTGGACGGGTTCATTTGTCTCCCTTTGTCTCCCTTCATTTGTCTGGCACGGCTCTCTGGGCTTTGTTTCCCTTCATTTGTCTCCCGTTGTCTCCCAGCCTGGATGTCTGGCACGGCTCTCCAGGCGGACAGATTCACTTGTCTCCCTTTGTCTCCCTTCATTTGTCTCCCGTTGTCTCCCAGCCTGGATGCCTGGCACGGCTCTTTGGGTGGACAGTTTCACTTGTCTCCCTTTGTCTCCCTTCATTTGGCTCCCCTTGTCTCCCAGCCTGGATGTCTGTCACGGCTCTCCAGGCGGACGGATTCACTTGTCTCCCTTGGTTCCCCTTCATTTATCTCCCATCTCGTGGGTGGACGGATTGATTTGTCTCCCTTTGTCTCCCTTTATTTGTCTCCCGTTGTCTCCCAGCCTGGATGCCTCTCTGGGTGGACGGATTCATTTGTCTCCCTTTGTCTCCCTTTGTTTGTCTCCCGTTGTCTCCCAGCCTGGATGCCCCTCTGGGTGGACGGATTCATTTGTCTCCCGTTGTCTCCCAGCCTGGATGTGTGGCACTCACGCTCCGCGGTTTCCTTCACTTCCCGCGGTTCTGTCCTTTTGGCGGGGTCTGGTTTGCCTTCGGCTTCGGCCCTGGCTTCGGTCATTCCTTGTCTTGTGGATGTTGGGGACAGGGTCCTCTGTCTGCCCTTCATCTGGACTTCGATTTTGCTTGGGCTCGTGGTGGGTCGTCTTCCTTGTCTATCGTTGGCTACACCCTGTCTGTTCGTTCAGTGCCTCGTTATCAGTTGCGGCCTCTCTCTGTCCTTGCTCGCATTTGGAGTCCCGAGCTGACGAGAGCGGTGCGCTGCGGTGCACGGCTTCAGCTACGAGAAGGCTCTGTTAACCCCCCGGTGAAACAAACGTGAATCAGCTGGAGTTAAATCGTCTATCGATTCTTTGATGATGTTCAACGAACCTACGCCGAGATACCCAGTGGTGCTCTTGGCACCTGGGGTTGTCCCGGCTCTCCCGGCGGACGGGTTCCTCTCCCTTCATTTGCCTGACAGATTCATTTGTCTCCCTTTGTCTCCCTTTATTTGGCCCCGGTTGTCTCCCAGCCTGGATGCCTGTCACGGCTCTCTGGGTGGACGGATTCGTTTGTCTCCCAGCTTGGATGTCTGGCACGGCTCTCCGGGCGGACGGGTTCATTTGTCTCCCTTTGTCTCCTTCTTGTTGTCCCCCAGCCTGGATGCCTGGCACGGCTCCCTGGTCATTCGCGGTGTATTCCGCGGGCACGCATGTGTGTTTGAGGCTCAGAAACGTGTGTTTGAGCGCGCGCGTGCGCTTGATCAAGCCACAGGCAGCATGCTGCGGATGCACGTACGAGTGCTTCAAGTAAATGATTGTGTGTTCTTGGTGTGTTCCAGCTGACCACATCGGCGCGTTCCAAGTGAACACGCACTTTTTGCATGTGACCACATGAGTGTGTTCCACGTCAGCACATGTTTGTGTTCCAGGTGAAAGCATGCGATTGTTCTGATAAAACACATATGCGATCCGGTCAAAATTCCTAGTAAGGGGGTTTAGTCTACAGAGGCCACCGTCGCAGTCACTTTGTGCAGTTTTAAATGGAGGGCCATTTTTTTTAAGAATTTTTCGTTTTTTTTTAGGAATTATTTTTGTTTTTCAGGGTCGGTGGCTTTTCGGCTTTTTGGCTTTTGTGGCTTTTACGTGGGTTTTTGTGGCTTTCGT